TCTAATTTATTGATTTCAGCCCTGAGTTTGATGATTTCCAGCTGTTTCCTCCTCTTGGGTGTGTCTGCTTCTTCTTTTTCTAGGTCTTTCAGATGGGCCATTAAGTTGCTTGTATGAGATATTTTAAAATTCTTCTTGAAGATACTTAGTGATATGAATTATGCTCTTAGCACTGCTTTCATTGCGTTCCATAAGTTTGGGTATGTTGTGCCTTCATTTTTATTGAATTTTAGGAAGTCTTTCTTTTCTTTCTTTATTTCTTCCCTAACTTTGCTGTCATTGAATAGGGAGTTGTTCAGTTTCCATGTGTGTGTAGGCTTTTTGCTATTTCCGTTTTTGTTGAGGTCCATCTTTAGTCCACAGTGGTCAAATCGAATACAGGGGATTATTTCAATCTTCTTGCATCTGTTGAGGTTTGCTTTGTGACCAACTATATGATCTATTTTGAAGAGGGTTCCATGAGGTGCTGAAACTTCAGGAAAATGAGTTTAAAGCTATGCTTATCCAGTTATTAGAGGCACATAAAGAGGAAATGAACAAGCTCTCACAGAAATAAGCACACAAGTGGAGGCAGAGAAAGAGGAAATGAACAACATCCCTAGCCATCAGAGAGATGGAAATCAAAACGACCCTGAGATTTCACCTTACACCCATCATAATGGCTAAGACAAAAAACTTGAGAGACAACACATGCTGGAGAAGTTGTGGAGAAAGGGAAACCCTCCTCCATTGCTGGTGGGAATGTAAAGTTGTACAACCAGTATGGAAATCAAGCTGGCGCTTTCTCAGACAATCAGGTATACTGCTACCTCAAGATCCAGTTATACCACTCCTAGGCATATATCCAAAAGATGTTCAAGTACAGAACCAGGATATTTGCTCAACCATGTTTGTAGCAGCTTTATTCCTAATAGCCAAAACCTGGAAACAACGCAGATGTCCATCAATGAAGGAATGGATACAGAAATTGTGGTACTTTTACACAATGGAATACTACTCAGCAATTAAAAACAAGGAAATAATGAATTTTGCAGGCAAAGGGTGGGATCTAGAAAAAATCATCCTGAGTGAGATATCCCAGGAGCAGAAAGAGACACACAGTATATACTCACTTATAAGTGGGTACTAGACCTATAAGATAGGATAAACATACTAAAATCTGTACACCTAAAGAAGACAAACAAGACTGAGGACCAGGGGTAAGATGATCAATCCTCACTTAGAAAGACAATGGGGATGGACATTATAAGTAGGAGAAAAAAAGTAACAGGACAGTAGCCTACCACAGAAGGCACCTGAAAGACTCTACCTAGCAGTGTATCAAAGCAAATGCTGAGACCCATAACCAAGCCTTCGGCAGAGTGTAGGGAATCATATGAAGGAAGGAGGAGTTAGTATGACCTAGAGGGCTCAGGAGACCCACAAGGTCCAAATATATCTGGGCACAGGGGTCTTCTCTGAGATTGTTTTTCCAACCAAGAACCATGCATCGACATAACCTGTAACTCCTGCTCAGACCTAGCCCATGGTAGCTCAGTATTCAAGTGGGTTCCCTAGTAAGGGGACAGGAATTATTTCTAACATGAACTCAATGTCTGGTTCATTGAGCTTCCCCTCCTCCCCAAGGACGATCAGCCTTGCTAGGCCACAGATAAGGACATTGCAACCATTCTGAAGATACCTGATAAGCTAGAGCCAGATGGAAGGAGAGGACATCCCCTCTCAGTGGACTCAGAAGGGGGCAAGGAGGAGATGAGGGAGGGAGGGGAGGATAGGGAGGGAAAGAGGGAGAGGGCTACAGCTGGGATACAAGTGAATGTATAAAATTATTTAAAAATAAAAAATATTAAAAAAGAGGAAACGAACAAATCTCTCAAAGAAATATGTACAGAAATGGAGGCAAATAAAGAGGAAACAACCCAAGCTCTCAAAAAAATACAGGCAAATACAGCCAAACAAATAGAGGCACGAGTAGAGGCACAATTATTGGCATATAGAGAGGCTACGAACAACAACAACAACAACAACAACAAATAGAAGCCGTCATAGAAAGACAGCAACCCACATTCAAACAGATGAAGGAAATGGTGTAAGACATGAAAACAGAGTTAGAATCAAACACAAGAAAAACACAAACACAGAAATTCCTGGAGCTTGAAAACTTAGAGAAAAGATCAGGAATCACAAAGGTAAGCATCACCAACAGAATACAAGAGATGGAAGAAAGAATCTCAGGTGCTGAAGATACACTTGTAGAAATTGATACTTTTCTCAAAGAGAAAGTAAAATCGAAAATGTTCCAAACACAAAACATCCAAGAAATCAAGGACACCATGAAATGATAAAATCTAAGAATAATAGGAATAGATGAAAAAGAATATACCAGGCTCCAAGGTCTGGAAAATATTTTCAAGAAAATCAAACATGAAAATTTTCCCAACTTAAAGAAAGAGATGTCCATAAATGTACAAGAGGCCTACAGAAAACCAAATAGACTAGACCAGAAAAGAAACTCCTCATGTCAAATCATAATCAAAACGCTAAATCTACAGAACAAAGATATTAAAAGCAGCAAGGGAAAAAAGCTATGTAACATATAAAGAACAGCTATCAGAACCACACCAGACTTCTCAACAGAAACTATGAAAGCCAGAAGGGCTTGGGCAGTTGTCATGCTGAATTTATGGGACAACAGATGCCAACCCAGATTACTATACCCAGCAAAGCTTTCAGTCAATAGATGGAGAAAACAGAATTCTCAGTGACAAAACAAAACTTAAACAATATCTACACAGCAACCCAGCCCTACAGAAGATACTAGAAGGAAAAATACAATACAATGAAAAAAAAAACTACACCCAAGAAAACATAGGATACAATAAAAGAAACTAACATTCATTGGTCACTATTATCTATTGACATCAATGGACTCAACTCTACAATAAAAAGACAGACTAACAGAATGGTTACAGAAACAGGAGTCAACATTCTGCTGCATCCAAGAAACACACTTCTGCAACAAAGATAAACAACACCTCAGAGTAAAGGGCTGGAAAAAATCTTTTTCATTCAAACAGACCTAGAAAACAAGCTGGGGTAGCTATCCTAATATCTAATAAAATAGACTTTCAACCAAAATTAATCAAAAAAGATGAGGAGGGGTACTTCATTCTCATCCAAGGAAAAATCCACCATAATGACATCACAATTGTTTACATCTATGCCCCAAATACAAGAGCTCCTACATTTGTAAACAAATCGTTATTAAAGCTTAAATCACACATCGATCCCAACACCTAAATAGTGGAAGACTTCAACACTCCATTTTCACCAATGGACAGATCATCTAGACAGAAGCTAAGTAAGGAAATAAAGGCACTTACAGAGGTCTTAAATCAAATGGATCTAATAGATGTCTACAGAACTTTTCACAGGATATAAGTTAATCTCAGCACCTCACAGAATATTCTCCAAAATTGACCACATACTTGGTCACAAAGCAAGTCTCAACAGATTAAAAAAAAAAAAAAACATGAAATCACTCCCTGCATTTCTATCAGACCACCATAGATTAAATCTAGATATCAATACCAACAGTAAGCCAAAAAACTCATGAAAACTGAACAATTTCCTACTGAATGAAAAATGGATAGAGATAGAAATAAAAAGAAGTCAAAGACTTTCTGAAATTTAACAAAAATTAATACACAACATATCCAAACTTATGGTACACAACAAAAGTGGTACTAAGAAGAAAGTACAGAGCACTAAGTGTCTACATAAAAAATGGCAAGATCTCATATTAGCAACTTAATAGAATATCTGAAATCTCTAGAACAAACAAGAATTAAGCATAACTGATAGGACTAGATAACATAAATAATCAAACTGAAGGCTGAAATCAATAAAATAGAAACAAAGAGAACAATAAGAATAATCAATCAAAACCAATAGGTTCTTTGAGAAAAACAAGATATTCAAACCCTTGTACAAACTAGTTAAAAGAAACACACAGAGAGAGTATCCAAATTAACAAATTCAGAAATTAAAAGGGGGAAATGACAATAGACACTTAGGGAATTCTGAGAATCATGAGGACACATATTAAACACTTGTACACCTCAAAATTGAAAAACCTAAAAAAATAAATAAATTGCTTTCTCAATAGGTGACACTCATAAAAGTCAAATTAAGATCAGATAAGGTATTTAAATATGTCTATAACCCCTAGTGAAATAGAAATGATTAAAAGTCTCTCAACCAAAAAAGCTCAGGGACAGATGGTTTTATTACAAAATTCCACCAGACTTTCAAGAGTTAATGCCAATACTACATAAATTATTCCACATAATAGAAACACAAAGAACACTGTCCAATTCTTGAGGCCACCATTACTCAGAAAACCAAACCACATAAAGATTTAACAAAGAAAGATAATTACAGATCTATTTCCCTTATGAACATAGATAAAAAAATACTCCAGAAATTACTTGCAAATTAATCCAAGAGCATGTAATAAAGATCATCCACCATGATCAAGTGGGCTTCATCCCAGAGATGCAGGGATGGGTCAATATCTGAATATCAGTAAATGTAATCCACTGTATAAATAAACTGAATGAAAAAAAATTTCCACAATCATCTCAATAGATGCAAAAAAGGCCTTTGACAAAACACAACACCCCTTAATGAAAAAAGTCTTGGAGAGATTAGGGATACAAGGGACATATCTACATATAATAAAGGCAAGTTATAGCAAGGATATAGGCAATATTCAATTTCAGTGGAGAAAAACACCAAAAAAAATTCATTAAACTCAAGAATAAGACAATGTTGTCCATTGTCCCCGTATCTATTCATCATAGTACTTGAAGTTCTAGCTAGAGCAGAGAGACAACTGACAGATATCAAGGCGATAGATTGGAAGGGAAGAACTCATAGTATCATTATTTACAGGTGGTGTGGTGGTATACATAAATTATCTTAAAAATTCTACCAGGGTACTAGCTTTGGTAGCACATATACTAAAATTGGAACAATACATAAAAGATTAGCATGGCCCCTGAGGAAGGATGACACACAATTTCGTCAAGCATTCCATATTTTTAAGAAAACAAACACACACCAAACACACAATCACCACCAATTCCACAATAAATGGAACTAACAATCATTGGTCACTAATATCTATTAACATAAAAAGACACAGACTAACAGAATGGTTGCAGAAACAGGGTCCAACATTCTGCTGCATTCAAGAAACAAACCTCTGCTACAAAGACAGATACTGCCTCAGAGTAAAGGGCTGGAAAAAGATCTATTAGGCAAACACACACAAGAAGCAAGCTGGAGTAGCCAACCTAATATCTAATAGAATAGACTTTCAACCAAAATTAATCTAAAGAGATGGAGAAGGACACTTCATTCTCATCAAAGGAAAAATCCACCAGGGCAACATCACAATTCTGAACATCTACGCACCAAACACAAGGGGTCCTGCATTTGTCAAAGAAACATTAAAGCTTAAATCACACATTGATCCCAATATCTCAATAGTGGAAGACTTCAACACCTCACTGTTGGCAAGGAACAGATCATTGAGACAGGAGGTCAACAGAAAAATAATGACACTTACAAAGGTCTTAAATCAAATGGACCTAATACATGTCTACAGAACCTTTCAACAGAACGCAAAAGAGTGTATCTTCTTCTCAGCACCTCATGGAACCTGTACTATTGATGTAAAGAAACACTGTGACCAAGGCAACTCTTATGAAGGAAATCATTTAACTGGGGGCTTGATTACAGTTTAGTCCATTATCATCTTGGCAGGGAGCATGAAGGCTCCCTGTGGAGCTGGAGAAGTAGCTGAGAGCTACAATCCAGATCCATAGGCAGAAAGGGGGACAGAGAGAGTCAGAGACATGGGGACAGAGAAAGGGAGACAGGGCCTTGTATGGGCTTTTGAAACTTCAAAATTCACCAACAAGGACACACTTCCTCTAATAAAGCCATACGTACTCCAACAAGGCACCTCCTAATCCTTCTCAAATAGAGCTACTCCCAGGTGATTAAGAATTCAAATATATGAGTCTATGGGGACTCATTCAAATATATGAGTCTATTGGGGAGTCATTCTTATTCAAACCATCACACTTGGCTAAGATATATTTTTGATTCTATTGAGAAAGGTTCTGTTTTCTTAATTCACTTTTTAGTCCATTTGTTTGTCATATGTATATAGGGTGGCTACTGATTTTTATGAGTTAATTTTGTATCCAGCTACTTTGTTAAAAGTGTTAATCAGTTATAGCAGTTTAACAGTGAAGTTTTTAGGGTCTTTAATGGATAATATCATATCATCTGCAAATAAAGTTACTTTTTCTTCCTTTCCCATATGTATCCCACTGAACTCTTTCAGTTGTCTCACTGTTCTAGGTAAGATTTTACATATTAACATGTCTCAAAGGAGACATGTTTTCTTGCGTTTTATATTTTGTGTGTTTCTAAGTTATGATATTTGCATCTGTTGAGCTGAGTGTCTCTTTTAACTTTATTTTGGAGATATTTCACTAGTCAGCCTTAATTTTGAGGTCTCCATCACAACACTGAAAGAGAAGAAAACAAACTACTGTGTCAGAAACACTACCAAATTAAATCATGAGGAAAGATACAATTTGAACCCAGTCAAGCCATCTATATGCCAATAACACTAGAAAATAAAGTAGCAATGGTAATGCAGAATGAGCTATGAAGTTAAGCATTCACTAGGAGGAGACATGTAATTTTATAAAAGAAGGTAGGCAATGTGGGCATGGAAAAGGAAAAGGAAAAAAAACACATGTTAAATAAAAGAAAAATGACAAAAAAAATACACAAAAATACCTAAGAATCGTATCTTTAGCTCCTTCTGTTACATTTCACCGAGTAATGGACTGAATTTAAATATAATGACTAAATTTTTTGGTGGAGGAAATTTCAAAAGGGTGTATCGTTTAGGCTGTAGCATAATTGCTATCCACTGCACTTACTCATGTCTATAGTAAAATAAAGATGCAGGAAGAGTAGGCGATAAAGATGGTTCAGAGGTTAATAATATTTGCTGCTCTTGCTGAAGACTGGAGTTCAGTTCCCAGCACTTGCGCTGTGTTGCTTACAACTTTGTATAAGTTCAGCTCCAGGTGATAGAATGCCATCTTCCTGCCTGCATGGGCTCATGCATTCACATGTACATGCATACATGCATACACATACATGAAAATAGATATACAAATAAATCTTCAAGAAAGAAGAAAACGTAGAGCAAAACAGTATGGAAAATGTAAAGTTTGTTGAGGAAATCAGAGTAGGTTTAAAATTGTGGAGAAGAAAGCTGTAGACAAAGCATCTGTAACTGTTAAAAAGATTAGAGACATTAAAGAGAAATTTCCCTTGAATGAGAAAGGTTCTTTTAGGGCAAAGTTCCATGTTGTGATAATGTTAAAACATTTGTAAGGAGAGAACTTACATTGAAAATGCCACTGAAGGGTTGCTCAAAAATAACTATCTAGGAAGTGTTTTTCCAGGTTCAGCAACAAAGGCATACAAGGGCCAATTTGCCATGATGGAAGGGAGCTAGACCACATCTTGATATCCCAGCTGAACTTAGAAGCATCATACCCATGATTGTAGTGAGAATTTTTGGTCTCTTAAAAAACACAGAAATGTTATGTGAATATGTTTTTGTTTTAATCCCAGGTGTGGTATAAGGGGTGCTTCAGACAAATCATAGCTAACTATGATTGGTCTCATGTTCTGGCAGTAGCATGATTTTGGCAGCTGACAATTGGAGTTCTGAGGACTCTTAGAAGGGTACTTAAATATGAGAGCCTTAAGAGGCATGACTGCTGCTCCCTTGTTTCTGCTGCTCCTGCTGTTGTTGCTATTTGATGGATTGCTGGTTGCTGGTTGAAGATATCCTAACTACAAAGATCAAATTTGTCCCAAGGAACTGGACTCTCTTAATCAGCAGGAAACATTCTAATGATAATGATGCCTTCTTCCCCCTCTAAACTTCTTTCTCTCCTACTTAGTGTTGGGAGAGAAGAGGTGGTGTAGGGAGGTAAAAAAAAAAGAACCCAGTAAAATAGCCAAAAGTTTGGCTATACATGGTGGTGCTTTTACAGGCACATGAAATGAAAGACTTCGGGGACATCAAGTCTTGTACCAAGGTTCCTGGGAGGTGTTGAGACCCAGGCAATCTACTTGTAAGGAGGCCCTAAAGGTCCATTTCATGAAACTGGGAAAGTGAATTTGCCTTGAAAACTCCAGGATGTTGATGGTATCAATACAATAAGATTTCTACTGAGGAAATCTGAAAGTATCAGTGGAGTCATCAGGCCACAGAGGAGGACATTGCAGCCAGTCCTGATGATACCTGATAAGCTAGGATCAGAAGGAAAGGGAGGATGACCTCCCTTATCAGTGGACTTGGAATGGGGCAGGGAGGAGCTGAGGGAGGGTGGGATTGGGAGGGATTGAGGGAGGAGGCTACGGCTGGGATACAAAATAAATAACCTGTGATTAATATAAAAAATAAAAATTATAATAAAAAAGAGAAGTTACATGTGTTACAGGTAGCAGACCTGGAGGAGTAGAGAATCCCAAGCTCAGATGATGCCATCATAAGTCCCAGATGTGACACATAAAGGTGCAAGATTTGCTGTTTCCTCTGCTAGGTTTTGCTTTTACTTTAATCTGATTTTTTTTTCTTGCTATTACCTTATCCCTCCCTTTTGGAATAGGAATATTTATTTTGGGGCCTTTTATGTTGGAAGTATGTAACTTGTTTTCTGATTTTATAGATATTCATGGTTAAGAAATTATCTTGAGTTTTAGAAAATAATTTACAACTTAGAATATTGTTGGAAAGGACAAAATGCATTTGAAACTAAGCCAGAATATTATGGTCTAAAGTTATGTGTTTGAGCATAAAGTTGAGAAGTAATGAGATGTCAAGAGCAATTTTGACTGTCAACTTATTCGGAGTTGTCATTTCCATGAAAATTCACGGCCGATTGTGTCTGTGAGGCTGTTTCCAGAAAGGCTTAACGGATGAAAAAAGATCCATCCTAAATGAACTGCAGTCCCAGACTGCACAAAAGGAGAAATATAGCTGAACAGTAGCATTTATCTTTTTCTGCTTCCTGTAAATGTAGTGTGATCAGTTGCTTCATGATTCTGCCTCTGTACCTTCCCAAAAATGATGGGCTGTACCATCGCTGTGCACCAGAATAAGGCCTTTTCTTAAGCTCCTTTTCTCAGGTATTTTCTCATATAAATGAGAAAAATAACTAATGAATTTTCCTGCCTCTTTCTACCTTTCAATGGTTCCCTTCCTCCTATTTGCTGTGGTATGACACCCCCCCCACCGTGTATGTGTATGTGTGTATATATATGTATATATTTAAACTTAAGTTCTGCATATAAGAAAAAAATGTGACACTTGTTTTTCTTTCATTTCAGCACAGTTGTTACCATTTTTCTCATTTTAGACCTGTTCCTCCTCCTTCATACTCCTTTTCTACTTTTGAGTCATATATAATATTTATGCTTTTATGTTTATATTAGATGCAGTAGAAAAGTCAGTTTTTTTCTTTCTAAACCTGAGTTATTTTACTTAAAATGATAATAACTGACTCACTCAATTTTCCTTCAAACAAAACACTTTCCTTTATATAGCACAATTTCCTTATCCATTAATTGGTATATGGCATTGAGGCTCTTTTTATGTCTTGCCTCTTCTGAATACTGCACCAATAAACATGGATATGCAAGTATCTCTGTGGCATTCTTGGATCCTTTGGCAATATATCCAGGACTAGTATACTTGGACCACACGCTAATTCTACTTTCCGTTTTCTGAGGCACTAGCCCACTGATTCTCATAGTGATAACACTAGTTCAGTCTCACTAGTAGTCAGTATATTAGTATCCCATTCCTATTATAACAAATTAATACATGTATACTATTATTTTATAGTTCTAGTGATCAGAAATGTAAAATTAAAGTTTTGTTAAGTTTGCTGTTTTGTTTCTTCAGATGTTTCCTAACAATTTTCAGGTTTT